ACAATTGAGGTTCATAACAGAGGAATCTTCTCCAGCGTTCTCCTCTATTTTCCACTCAAGCTCTCTCCTGATGCATGTCTTTTTTTTCCTTTTCGTCATCTCTCCATCCATTTCCTTTGTTCATGTTTCGACTCTATTCCTCTCGTAAGTGGTTTCGGCGGTTCCTGCTCTTCCTGTGGTCCAGCAAGGGTTTGAGTTTGCCCAGATCACCTCTCATGGGGTTCTGTATGTTCTGCAGACTCTGCATCTGTTTGCGTTCCTTGCAGTATTGGTGCATGGCCAACGTCTCAGCCGGGCTGAAGGCTGACACCAGGGCTTTAGGGTGCAGTGAGGCTGCCCAGCCCCAGGGAGACTGATTGTTGCTCAGAGCGCTGACCAGAGCTTCGCTCAGAATCTGGAGACGGATTTTAGCAAGTGTGCGCTTGAAGCCATTCTCTGTGGCCAGGCAGTAATACACCGAGGAATGCGAGGAATGCACTGAACGGATGAGCAAGCCGTGATTGGTGGACACCACACGATCGCTCAGCACACAGAGAAATTCTTATTGAATATAAAAATACATTAAAAAAAAGCTTTCAAGATAAGGTTGTGATCCTTTTGGGTAGGGACATGTTTGTTTTGGTGATCAAAAGACTATTTTTGCAATGGAATGAACTCTATAAAGGGGGTTTCTTCCATTTAGAATGTACAAATTGTAAATGTTTATTCTTTATTAATTTAGAATAATGTAGTCATATATACTACTTAGGGGTGGGTGATATACTGGTAGGAATTTGTCAACTGGTAGAGATTTTGGACTATCGTCTCTATTGTGGTTACACGCTTTCGTGCTATAAAAACTTATTGTTTTTACACTTTTTAAGCATTGCTGTTTAAAAACGAGTGATTTTTAAGCTGTTGAAACACAATCAACAGTGAAAGAGAACTCATTTAGCTATATGCTGTCTGAGAGACTGTTTCTGATCACTGTCAGAGAGGTGCACGCATGTGAAGACGGTGCTCATAGAGATATTTTTGCCGCTTTATAGGGCTTGAACTATTAAACACACACACTTGTATGTGTCAAAATGCCTGTCTTTGCAAGTATCCTCGTAAATACAGTAATTTAGATCTTAAGTGAAAGCAAACAGCTAAGAAAGAAAACGTGTATAACAGTATATTGGATCCGGGCAGCTCTTAAAGTGACAGCAGTCTAATATTCCTGCTGTCTGTCGTTCATGTTGATCAAACAACAAAATAGAGAAAATCTCTCACTGCTGTTGACTAAATCACTTTTGTAACTTTAATAAGAAGAAATATATATTGTGAATTTACACGGTGAAGAATATGCAATGTTTTTATACATTTGATTACTTTATACAATGTACATGTAGAATTTTTTAATTATTTGTTCTACTGTAGTTTTTTTTTGTCCTATTGCTTTTAATTAGTTTCTTATTTTTATTTAATCGCTGACTGTTTACTTGTCTTTGGTGAGCTTGAGGTTGTTTTTTTGTTTGTTTGTTTTTAATATAGGCTAGTGTTAGTTTTTTGTGATGTTGACACTGGTGACAAGAATTATGAAATTTCTATGGTATCAAACATTTTGATATCATAAAGACCTTATTTAAAGCAAAACTAACTGTATTGTGATATATATATCGTTACTGTGAAATAAAATTGCTTATATCGTGATATAAAATTTTAGTCATATCGCCCACCTCTAATACTACTACTACTTTTATATATTCTTAAATAATAATAATAATAATAAAGAACAATTCATTTTTTATTATTATATAATTGTTTATAAATGTAATAATTATATTTGCATAAAACATACATTTATAACATCTGAGTATGGGAGATCATGTTTATATTATATTAGCTTTTATGTTATCCATTGCATCTTTATTCTTTTTTTATTATTATTGTAAGCCAGACCTTTACAAGACAAATAAGTTTTGAGCATCCCTGTGCATCTATTATTTTCTTATTTTTTAAGACAGTTTAGGAGGAGTCAGTCTGTTTGATGATTACAAACACAATGATATTTCATTGAAATGAAATATCGATAGCCTGAAGCAATGTACTGTGCATTGGCTGTTGAGGATGAGGGTTTAATGTTGTGTCATTTTGGACAGGGTTGTCTGACCTCTTTCCTGCGATCGTTGTCTCTCTGAATGAGCCATTTAACAGAGGCCTGTGGAGATTTGGGCTGACACTCCAGGAAGGTGGTGTTGTTTTTGACTCCATACTGAGTCATCTCCACTGCATTCCTGTAGGCTGAAACAAGACATGAAGCGTTACCCAAAGCTCTCGAACACTTGGCGCATACTAATTGTAATTGTACTGCCGTAATTCAGCTGACACACTAACATCTGCAGATGAGGGTCACAATGGGGTTCGAGTTCACTGAGTATGCAGTAAAATGTACTCTGAAGAGTAGTGGGCCACATTAGTGTGTAATTTGATAAGTGACCCTGTACACTGGCCAATGATGTCATACATTCAACATCTGTTTTGACATTGTGCTACTTTTGTTTAGTGCGTACAGCTGGGAAAACGCTTCCACTCATCGTTAAGATTGCTTTTTAATAATTCTGATGCATCTGAAGTGTTGAACTGAGTCATCTGGATCGCTGACAGTATCTGTGCCAATTGTATTCAAATGAACAGGTGTTCTGGTCCCATGACAGATTCTTTCTCAAGGAGAGAAAGAATTAGATAAACATGAGAGGAAAAAAAGGAAATGAGTGGTGGAAGAAGAGGGAAATGTGTGAGGCTGCATGTCAATTAGCATTTAAGTTAAACACCGAAATGTATTTCACTAGGAAAATACATTGTGCACTGGTGACAAGAATTATGAAATTTCTATGGTATCAAACATTTTGATATCATAAAGACCTTATTTAAAGCAAAACTAACTGTATTGTGATATATATATCGTTACTGTGAAATAAAATTGCTTATATCGTGATATAAAATTTTAGTCATATCGCCCACCTCTAATACTACTACTACTTTTATATATTCTTAAATAATAATAATAATAATAAAGAACAATTCATTTTTTATTATTATATAATTGTTTATAAATGTAATAATTATATTTGCATAAAATATACATTTATAACATCTGAGTATGGGAGATCATGTTTATATTATATTAGCTTTTATGTTATCCATTGCATCTTTATTCTTTTTTTATTATTATTGTAAGCCAGACCTTTACAAGACAAATAAGTTTTGAGCATCCCTGTGCATCTATTATTTTCTTATTTTTTAAGACAGTTTAGGAGGAGTCAGTCTGTTTGATGATTACAAACACAATGATATTTCATTGAAATGAAATATCGATAGCCTGAAGCAATGTACTGTGCATTGGCTGTTGAGGATGAGGGTTTAATGTTGTGTCATTTTGGACAGGGTTGTCTGACCTCTTTCCTGCGATCGTTGTCTCTCTGAATGAGCCATTTAACAGAGGCCTGTGGAGATTTGGGCTGACACTCCAGGAAGGTGGTGTTGTTTTTGACTCCATACTGAGTCATCTCCACTGCATTCCTGTAGGCTGAAACAAGACATGAAGCGTTACCCAAAGCTCTCGAACACTTGGCGCATACTAATTGTAATTGTACTGCCGTAATTCAGCTGACACACTAACATCTGCAGATGAGGGTCACAATGGGGTTCGAGTTCACTGAGTATGCAGTAAAATGTACTCTGAAGAGTAGTGGGCCACATTAGTGTGTAATTTGATAAGTGACCCTGTACACTGGCCAATGATGTCATACATTCAACATCTGTTTTGACATTGTGCTACTTTTGTTTAGTGCGTACAGCTGGGAAAACGCTTCCACTCATCGTTAAGATTGCTTTTTAATAATTCTGATGCATCTGAAGTGTTGAACTGAGTCATCTGGATCGCTGACAGTATCTGTGCCAATTGTATTCAAATGAACAGGTGTTCTGGTCCCATGACAGATTCTTTCACATGGAGAGAGAGAATCAGACAAACATAAGAGAAAGAAGGAAACGAGTGGTGGAAGAAGAGAAAGAGAAAAGGTGTGAGGCTGCATGTCAGTTAGCATTAAAGTTATGCATCAAAAGTATGTATTTCATTAGGAAAATTGTATGTGTATAAAAATAGAATGCTAGTATTGAAAAACTGTCAACATGTCATAAAATGACTTTGATGCATGAGCGTTTTAGCATTAGCATTGCGTTCATGTTAGAATTAGCATAATTACAAGATGACAACTGGGTGATTCTACTCCGAGCAGTTCGAAATGATTAGTTTCTATGACAACGTTCATAACGCCAAAATGGATCCATTTGGGGCTATGTTGTTGATGAATAAAATACTTAGTCACTAGATTGATTCAGCTCTAGATGGTATTGCAAATGATTATTTGTGTCCCAACCAGAAGTGACTTAGTTCCTAGCAACACACAATTCGTCCTTGCAATTAGAAAGCAAAAATGCAGCACGATGTGGCAAAGCCAGTCATTTCATTTGGAATCCATGTGTTTAGGAATTCCGCGTAAGAATGAACTGGTTTAAGTCGATCTCGCAGATTCACTGTGCTAACTAACAAAAAGTTGGTTTGGTTTGAAAGTGACATTGTGTGAATGCTGATTCATACAACACTACACCGTTGACAATGGACTGTTTTTGCTGACAATTTCGCTGATGTGTCTGTTGACGCTTTTTACATGACGTTGAGTATCATTAATTACTCACCATCATGTCGTTCTAAACCCGTAAGACCTTCGTTCATCTTCTGAACACAAATTAAGATATTTTTGATAAAATCCGAGAGCTTTCTGACCCTCCAGACAGCAACGCAACTTACATGTTCAAGGCCCAGAAAGATTGTAAAGACATCATTAAAATAGTCCATCTGTGGTTCAACCTTAATTTTATGAAGCTACGAGAATAATTTTTGTGCGCAGAGAAAACAAAAATAACAACTTTATTCAACAACTTCTCTTTCGGGTTTGGAACAACATGCGGGTGAGTAAATAATGACATAATTTTCATTGTTAGGTAAACTGTCCCTTTAAAGTTTCATGAGTTTTGAACTTGCAATTATGCGTTTAACCAAATGAAGATGCAGTTATAGGAAAAAGCAGCAATTGTCAGAAATAGATGCAGTTTTGAAATGAAGAGAAAAAAAAAAAGTTGCATTTACGAGAAAAAGTTGCAGTTACAAGAAACAAAGGCGCAATTGTGAGATATAAAGTCTCTTTATGATATATAAAGTCGCAATGACTTTGTATCAAATAAATGGAAACAGGTTTTTCAAACTGCCTGTCACAAAACTGTTTACTGAAAACTTAAATTCTTGTCTCCGCACATAACTTTAGGACTTTATTTGCCTAGCCCAAGTGTTGACATGCAGATAGTCATTACCTTTTAGATTGAACCCTCTGCACTGAGTCAGTGGATTCCCATGCATAATATCCTGCCTTCTGCTTCTCCTGGAAAAACATTTACATAGGATTAATCCAACAGATTTTCATATATGCATTCTTTCCTTTCACTCTTACATTCTCTCACTGCCTGAATGTTTGCACAATATTCTTTTAATAAAACACATTCCTTGTCATGAAAGTCAAATTTTAGCTTAATTTTTCATAACTAACACGATTCAGCTGTCACAAGTCCAGTGAAATGAAATGTCTGTTTTTCCACTTCAATACTCCGGAATGGATGTTTTGATGGCTGTACCTTCCATCAATATTTTCCGTACTCAATACATCTGGCATCAAGAAAAACTGGCTAAGGTATCAGATTAACATGTTCAGTTCTGAAACAAGCCACAGTGTAAATACTTATGAATATGTAATATGTGGGCTGTTCCGTTTGAGTGACAAGCTGTATGTGTACAGTCTGAGTTACGAAGACTGGATGGTTTCTGAAGTGTTGCCACACAGTTGCCAAAGTGTTCTGAATGACTTTTACTGCATGTGTTTTATGGTAGTTGCTTATTGGCCCAATTCAGAAATGCACACCCTCAAGTCTCTGATATTCTAGTCCCTCGATATGTTTCATCGTCTGCCAGGAAAATCTTAGGCCAGAACTCTTTAAAATGTAATAGTGACAAAATGAATTTTAATATGTAGGGTTAGGGGTTTGTACAAAATTCCACGAATAATCTTTCAACCCAGACTGTGTGTCTCTGCTTTATGACTAAATGAAACCAAAGTGGTGTCTCATCATTTATTTCTGCCCCACTGCTGCTGCAGTTTATGCCACCCTGAGTGTTAGTGTGTGTGTACCTCTTGCCAGTGGGGTAGAATCGAGAACAGCTGAGCCCATCCCAGGCGCAGTACGGGTCCCGCGCTAAACAGCAATCCGCACAGGCAGAGCCGTATGCCATGCAGCGGTGCAAAGACACCTGGGAAACTCCGTGCTCAGAGCTAACATACAGCTGTTGCTGTAACACATACAAGCCAGATATCTCAAAAGCTGTTCCTTTAACCCACAGGACTGGTGACAAGATAATTACCCAGAATTAAAGCAACAGCATTTCCACCCCCACTTACTATATGTAGTACTTAATCACAAAATGGAGCTAGATAAATGTAGTTACCTTTTTAGATGAGATTCTTAGGTTGGTGATAGGAGATTGCTTCTGAAAATCAAAAAAGAAATGGGGTGAATGAAATTTTTTTTTTTTTTTTAGACAAAAAATAAATAAATAAAAATCATGCATACAGTGCCTATTCCTATGACCATTTATATATTAAATTTCAACATTTTATTTATTTATTTTTATTTATATATTATTTAGTTATGGCCCACTCCTATTTTATCTGCGCTGCACTGGTTACCCATCAAATATAGAATTGATTTTAAAATTCTATTATTTGTGTATAAAGCCCTCAATAATTTGGCCCCTCAGTACCTGACAAACCTGCTCCGTCCTTACACCCCTTCTAGAACACTGAGATCCAGTGATCTCTGTCTACTCATTGTGCCTAGATCTAGACTTAAAAAACGAGGTGATCGCGCTTTCGCAACTGCAGGTTTGTGTTGAAAAATGCCAAGGTAGTGTAACTGTAAGAATTTTATATATATATATTATATTTCAACAATGTAGAGTCAGTGTGGTGCAACCAACATGGATTTTTTTTCTTCCATGTGTCTGTTGGTAGCGGGTTTCATTTCATTTTCATGATTTTTATCATTTTATCTTTTTCTTTTTTCAAAATATTCAAAATTCTATTTCATAATTCCTTTTTCTGTGGCAGTGCATCAAGATTGTTACATGACACTTCTTAGTCACAATAACACTGTAAATGACTGATGTTATGGTTTTAGTCCAAATATTTATAAGCTTGTTAACTAGATTGTCAAATATGTGGTATTCCTATTCTCACATAAGTGTGAGAAATATAAGTAAATAGAATTTGTGCTTTAAACACCTTATAATGATTATGTTAGTTGAACGTCTATAGATGCCATAATGTTTGTTTGTATTGCAACTCCAAAAATGGCAATGTCAAATGGTATAACCCCATGAAAATTTCATGGTATTCATGACTCAAAAATTCATAATGTTTGTAAAAGCAAAAACAAAAATGTTAACTTTTGGAGGGAAAATGTGATTACTTTTCACTTGATAGTTACACCATTTGACAATTTTACAAATATGATATTTCTGAAAGCTGGGCATATGTTTTAAACTACATTTTTAAAAAGATTTAGCTTTTCATTATAATGGACATCCTTAGCCTATTTGCCATTTGAATCAATCAAACGAAACCACAATTTTAAAAGAGAAATCGCCTATTTAGGGTGGTTTTGAGTTTTTATGTGCAAATTTGTGAGTGTGTGTTCAGATGCCAAATTAAACATCCCACTGAGCTGTGTGTGTGGCATTTCATGGTCCATGAATTGATTCATTATGCCTAAACCTATTTTGACAATTTCGAGCCACTCAAAGCAGATCATAAGAAACCTCAAAGAGTAACCTTTTCCTCACCTCATGCCCAGTCTTTGTTCCCATTAAAAATCTGCCTTCCTTTAGAACAACATTGAGTTTTAATAAATGCTTTGTGGCACTGCCAGCTCTGCTCCTCTAGATACTTTGATGTGGGATGTGTGGCGAGAACTCAGACCTTAAACACTTCCAGCTCCTCAAGGATTAGATCCTCATCCAGAGATCCGTTTGACGGCAGAACCACGACTTTCTGTACCGTGCCTTTATCTGTGAGCAGAATACCAGAACATCAGGAGAGCATTGGACAGTCTGGAAAGCAAAAACAACCTTGATAATGTGGTCTGGGTTTGAACTGCTTATGAACTTTCCATTGTTCTCAGATTTTCTCTTTGAAATCTTTTAGCTTGTGTGTGTGTGTGTGTGTGTGTGTGTGTGTGTGTGTGTGTGTGTGTGTGTGTGTGTGTGTGTGTGTTCCGATTTTCTCTTTGAAATCTTTTAGTGTGCATATCTGGGTTGGTTTATGATGTTGTTGAGCATCTGTTCTGAGAAACAGATCTGCAAACTAGACTTCAGAGGAAAATGTGTGGTTGCCAAGGTGTTCTGGGTGGTTGCTAGGTGATTTTCACGTCAAAAGAGCCCACCCTCTAGTCCCTAGATATGGCCCGTGGCCCTACTTCAATGTAAGTCTAAGCATTTTGGGGGTTTTCTTGCCATCTGCCTGGTGGAAATTATTTATTGGATATCTTCGACTGTAGAAACATTTTGAGTGATGAGTTTGATCCCATTAGCAGCTTATGAACATTAAATGTCAAGCTCATCCATTCTGTGAGGTCATGATAGGTGTGTATATTTTGCTCCAGATCCTCAGAGAGAAGGACGATGGAGAATTCAGCTCAAACTCTGGAAATTCCCATTTTAAATAGCCAACATTTCTAGACGAAACCCTGCCAAGGAGCAGGCAGGCCATTCCACACAATGCTCCTGGCTTTCCATCAGGAATTTTGATAGACAAATACAAACAGCTGTGATTTTGAATTCTCTCCAAATGTCCCCTATCCCCGTTCCCTAGTAACCGCTGAGCCTGTCTGCTGTCGTGTCTCTGATTCTGTTCTCAGATAAACACACACTCACACACGCTTTCTTTCTTCCATTGCCATCACAAAAGTTAATACCGTGTCTTGTGCTGTGAGACAGCAGGAATCATAATATCTTCCATTTAACTGATACAGAAGAGAGATAGATTTTTATGTTAAAAATGATGAGATGATAATATTTGTGCAGCTTGTGTAGACTCTCTGCCACCTAGTGGTGGTCAGTGGCAAACAGATTTATGTCTCTGGATGTGGTGTTATATTTCTGTAAGGAATGGAATGGTATAGAATAACTATTTTTAAAGTTAAATACAATTTTATATTATAGTATTGAATATACTTTGCAGTAGTGAAAAGCATTTCCCACAATATTTCTGCTTGTGACAGCTAAAGAAAAATTTTAAGAAATGTAATTTCTTGTATGTATTTTTAAGCATTATAATTAAGTTACTATTAAAATAAAATGACTATAATTACTAAATAATAATAATAACAATATGAATATGAATTGTATATGGAAGCCTGTTCCCGCCACTGAATTAAAATTTTGACTTTTTATCTCACAATTCTGACTTTCTCGCAATTGTGAGTTTACATATCGCAATTCTGACACTTTTTCTCAGAATTCCATGATACAAATCAGCAATTCTGACTTTTTCTTTCAGAACTGCATGATATAAACTTTATAAACCATTCTGAGAAATAAAGTTAGAATTGTGAGATATAAGCTTATAAATCTGAGAAAATATCAGTCTTTTCCTCTCAGAATTGGACTTTCTAACTCACAATTGTGAGTTCATATTTCACAATTCTGAGAAAAAAAGTCAGAATTGCGAGATATAAACTCGCAATTGTGAGAAAAAATTCAGAACTGTGAGTTTATATCTTGCAATTCTCACTTGATTTCTTGCAACTGCAAGTTTATATAACGCAATTCTGAGGAAAAAAGTCAGAATTGTGAGTTCATATCCTGCAAATTGTGACTTTTTATATCTTGCAATTGTGAGTTTATATCACGCAATTCTAACTTAATTTCTCAGAATTGCACGTTTGTATCACGCAATTGTGAGGGGAAAAAAAGCCAGAATTGTGAGAAGTTATTATAAAGCAATTACCTTTTTTTAGTTTTTATTCAGTGGCAGAAATGGGCTTCCATAGAATTGTACTAAAATATTCAAATTCAAATATTATTGTTAAGTCATCCTGTGGCCCCCTTGGAAGTTTGAAGTTTGTTGGATCCTGGCCCCCTGGTTGAGAATCACTGCTTTAAAATATAGTATAGAATTTTTTAGTATATGGAAAATGGGACATGTTGCAGGCTAGATTCAAGCCTGCATCACCCACCAAAGCTCAATGTTTCATGAGCATGTACGCTAACTGCTGCAACATGTCTCCTAAAACGTTCGTTTTAAAAGTAAAAGTTCGTTGTAAAAACAGATGAATATAAGATTACATTTATATGGTATTTTATATAAAAGTATAAGGAACGTGGCTCTGATATGTTTTGTATAATGTAAACTGTATGTTATGGTATGAAGCAGTATAACAAAGTTGAGGGCGTGCTTACTGCCATAATTTATTAAAATACAGTATAATTTTTAAGTATTTTAAATGAAGTATAATTTAACTGACAAATCACTTTCAGTAAAATGTTATCAGTCAGGAAAACAAATTCCAGCTTTTCTGCCTTTCTCATTTTTAGGTGGAAAAAGCTATTTAGTGTGTTGAAAAGGTCAACAAGCAGTCAAGCAAAGTTAAGTGTGCCAGTTCCTTCCACAAACAGATTACATGAGGTAGTTGTTGAAATATATTGTGGGACATTTGAACTGTGTTTCATCTGGTGGTTGTAACTCGGAGTAGGTTAATTTTTCGAATGGTCATTTATTTTTCTTAAAGGGATAGTTCACCCAAAAGTGAAAATTAGATGTTTATCTGCTTACCCCCAGGGCATCCAAGATGTAGGTGACTTTGTTTCTTCAGTAAAACACAAACGAAGATTTTAAACTCAAACCGTTGCAGTCTGTCAGTCCTATAATGGAGGTGAATGGGAATCACGGCTTTGAGAGTAAAAAAAACATACACAAACAAAACCAAATTAAACCCTGCGGCTCGTGACGATACATTGATGTGTAAAGACACGAAACAATCGGTCTGTGCAAGAAACTGAACAGTATTTATATCGTTTTTTACCTCTGATTTACTGCAATGTCTGAACTGTCCTGAGCGCGTCCTCGACGCGTCACGCGCCAGCTGTCGAGGACACACTCAGGACAGTTCAGACAATTCAGACATTGCAGTAAATCAGAGGTAAAAAAACGATATAAATACTGTTCAGTTTCTTGCACAGACCGATCGTTTCGCGTCTGCAACGGCTTGAGTTAAAAATCTTCGTTTGTGTTCTACTGAAGAAACAAAGTCACCTACATCTTGGATGCCCTGGGGGTAAGCAGATAAACATCACATTTTCATTTTTGGGTGAACTATCCCTTTAAGATTTGTCATACTGTGGGGTTTTACCTGTGCCCAGGAATAGAACCTGGTAGTGTCCGTCCGCAGCAGTGACCTGGTCCACAGCTATAGAGGTGTATTTGTAATCGGCATGTGTCCGCACCACCAGAGGTTTCCTGCCGACTGGGTAGATGGGGTTAAACATGATGGGGTGATTCCTCACGAATGTCACCACATCATCTGGAAACTCTTTAGTACTCTGGATATGAGGGGTGAACGCACCACCAGGACACTGACAGGAAGAGGATAAAAACTATTTAAAGCTTAGACTATCATGCTGTAGATTATGAAAGCTTTATCACTTCAATTGGGTCTTTTTGTCACTCAGACTCAAACTAATATTAGTGAGTCTTTGTGAGTGTACGTCATTTTAAAAGTTCCCCCAAAAATGTAAAAGTCCAAGCATTATTGATTTAAGTGGGGAACATTAACATTAACATTACGCTGGACATACACATAATAATAATAATTTAGTATTACATTAATAAAATAACATCATTCTATATGTTTTTCATAGAAAATATTATTAAAGATTCTCATCTCATAATTTATCTGATAAATAAATGAGCATAAAATATAGGCCCTTCCAACAGAGGATAGACCAGAAATCAAACCTACAAATTTCATGTACATACTCAACTGAAAAAAAAATGCTATATTAAAATAGTATTGTTATATATTATTTTATAGTCAATTTTTATTGTAAAAGTATCATGTCTAAAAATATATCTATAGAAATAAATGACCATAAAATACAAGTTATTCTGATAATCCAGAACAGAAATCAAATCTACAAATTTCATGTAATTAAAAAATACAAAAAATTTATTAAATTAAGAAATAGCTATATATGAAGTATTTATGAAATATTTGTAAACTAATAAATACATATTTATAAACAGTAGTATAGTAATATTCTATATTATATTATTATAGTAAAATATTGTTAAAATGATCACATATGCATAAAAAATTAATTACCTTAAATTATTAGCTTTTGTAACAGAGGATTGACCAGAAATCAAGTGTGCAAATTTAATCTATAACTCAACTGGAAAAACAATAATATTTCATATTATATTATTAAAATAGTACTACTCTATATAATTTTGGTAAAATATTATTAAAAGGTATCACAAAAATGACCTTGAAATATAAGCCTCACGGAGGATAGACCAGAAATCAAATCTCCTAATTTCATGTATAAAATAAAAATAAGATTATGATGATGATTATTTCGGCAAACATTCCTCACCTACAATTATTTGCCTTTTCAACTAAACTGTAAATCGCAGATATTTAATGGTGTTATAAATAGAGTGACTGTACCAAGGCAGGACATGAATGTGTGTGACTCACAGTTCCCGGTCGTGGGTATGGGATCCGGCCCTGGAAAGTCACCCACTGGAAGTTGGGTCCTTCCCTGTGCGCAAACGGTCCGTTGAAGACCGTCAGGATGTCAGCCATGTTGTACACACAGACAGCAGAACCTCTGAACACAGAACTGGATGGAATAAAACAAAACACAGCTATTTAACATGAAGCAAGTCAGACAGTAAAAGACAGTCTTGCACATCCTTCCTAAGCATTTGGATGGAAGGGATGATGTAACATGGTTACACTGGAGACTCAATCCACAGAGAGAAAAATGCCACATAAAGGAAAGGGGACACCGCTTTAGTTACACTCTGGGATGAAGTGTGGTTTGGCTGGACATCCTAGATTTTGATCAGACAGCAAGACAAAGAATTTCTTTGTTTGATCGCAAAACAAAGGGAAAGAGACATATGATGATAAATAACAGAGCAGGGCATGGACAAAGAAGCTGTCGCTGTTTGGATTGGCCTCATTAAGAAAACCACACAGATTTAACATGGTTGGAGAATGAACCACAGCTCGGAAACCTTGACCGAAATCTCACCTCATTAAACCACAACTCACGTACACACACGCCCCAACATACACTCATTCAAACCCACCATAACAAACATAATGAAATGACCCAGAGCAAATGAGACCTCATATCTGAACTCTTTCGCTTAAACAATGAGATAATAAATGAAGACCACTGGCTTCTCGGATCTTTCTCTTGAGGAAGGAAAAAAAAAAACAACTCTTGAGTTTTTGAAGACATTTCAAAGTCTTAAACTGTGCTACAATCAAATGAAAATGTTTTTTTATTCAGTACTTTAAAAGTTAAATGATTAGAGTTATGCTTGTTGGTAGTATCAAAAGGTGCTGTTACTTTATTATAATTTTTTAAAAGGACATTTGCTCCCTATAATTGATTTTCAGGGGCACTTTTGACCTTTCTCGTTCCCCCCCCCCCAACTATATAGAAATACAGTCTGCCTTATTTTTTGTGCTAAATACTTCAACCCCGAAGTATAGAATGTATTTTTAATAAACATTTTATAAAAATAATTTAATATATATAAAATTATATGTATACAAATTAGAAATCAGAAATAAATTGATATATTTTAGAATGAATACGTTTACCATATAGAATATTTACAAACATTTAACAAATAATATAGTATATAGAAAGAAAATATGAAATAAATTAATGATATGTATTATATAAGAGTATAATATTTTTTTTTTAACTCATAATAATAGGTCAAATTAAATATTACAGTTTTATTAAATGGAATAAATAGATTTGAATGTAGTATATAGATGATGCAAATATAGATTATGTACAAATATACACAAATAAAGAACAGAGGAAAATGTAATATATTATAAATATAAATATATATTTATAAAAAAAAAAATATATATATATACATATATATATATAAAGTACATATGAATGTATTTGATGACTTCCGTCTGAGATTTTTTCTTTTAAATTAGCATTTTTATCAGGCTCCTATGTTTAGGTTCAATCATTTTACTTTAATAGCAATGAAAAGGTTAATAGTCAGTTATTTAAAGTGCCCTTATTATGGATTTAAAAAAATTACCTTTCGTGCAGTGTAACACAGCTCTAAGTGAATGAAAACATCCTGCAAAGTTTTAAATCTGAAAGTGCAACGTGTATAAAGTTATTGTCTCTCAAAAGAAAGAGTCGACTCTGGAAATCAGAGACTTAAATTAAAGACAAACGTTAAAATCTCTTAATAGAACAAAACCAAAAACATTTAAAGTGCCCCTATTATGGATTTTTGAAAATGACGTTTTATGAAGTGTTTAACACAGCTCTAAGTGAATGAAAACGTCCTGCAAAGTTTTAAATCTGAAAGTGCACCGTGTATAAAGTTATTCTCTCTCAAAAGAAAGAGTCGACTCTGAATCATTGAAACAAGTCGTTTTTAAAACTAATCCCAAGCCATTTTATGTTGACATCAACATGAAACATTAGCATATTGGCCGCCCACTTGTTGGTCTTTTCACGTTGGTCTGAATGAAAATGCAATTAATTCTTTACCACTAGGTGTCGCTTTTGGAGCGGTAAAAATAGCGGTTTCCCCAGTAAGGCTGGCTGCACACAAGACGATTTTAAGGCCGATTTTAAGACCGATTTGCATCCCCGAACGATCGGGGGGTGTGGCCCGATTCGCAGCTTGTCGCAAACTATTTTTTGTCCAAAAATCCTCTATTGTGTGGTGTCATTACGATTATTTATCTGCTCCCGATCGAGACGGAGCATCCCCAAACTCAAATCGTAAATATCAAACAGGTTTGATATTTACCGGGCTGTCTCTGACGTGATACCCGCGATAGCCAATGAGAGTGAGCAAGTGTCACCTACCGGATGTTGCGTGCTTCTAAAGCTGAAACTCGGCAGCCACAAACATGCCATGAAAGCAGAGAACATCACCCATATTCTTTGTTATACTTCGTTTTTCACTGTGAAACAGAACGTGCCAGCTGACAACCGTTGATTGTCCTCTATTTGTTTTTCTTCTCTAGTCACGTTTGATCTCGTGTCCGTGAGATCACGTGTCACTGAAATCGTTCCTACAATCGACAAGTGTGTGGTCTCGTGGTCTGGTCGAATCATCGTGTGTGCATTCAGAGGATTATAAGGCTAAAAATCGTTTGTACTGTCTTTGTCTGTGGTCTCCCATGGTTTTAAAATAGTTTAAGATTTGAAAATCGTCTAGTGTGCTGCCAGCCTAACGCTGTACACAAAGCAGCACTGTGCTCACAAACGCTGCTTTATCAGGCACTACAGGCATGATGAAATGAAAATGAGACTAGAGGTCTGCGTGGGACTATTTTTTTTGTCCCGCTCCCTCAAGGTAATATTCCGACACCCGCCTGCTCCCGCTATATATTCACTCTTTGTTCACCCGCTGTCCGCTTAGAATAATTTTCTTCCCGACCCGACCGTTCTCGCTAAATTTAGATCTCGTTTCCAGAATCTCACATTTAAATTTCCGCTACTGAAAGAAAGAGAGATAGGCTAACAAATGAAATGTAGTCTGCACAAAATTGCATGTTATTTTATTCGTCTTGTCAAGAGTCTTGAATTTATTGACTTTGACTTGAATTTACATGAATTATCTTGAGACACAAAATTCGTTTAATATTTTAACACAGTAGGAAAAAAGTGTCAGAGAAAATAAAAATGTTGTACAAAAATTGTAGGCTATTTCTTATTTTTATTCGTCTTGTCAGGACACAATTCGTTTAACATATACAACACAATAGGAAAAAGTGTTGCAGAGAGAAAAAAATGAAAGTGTAGGTTGTACAAAAATAGCCTATTAGCTATTTTTATTCGTCTTGTCAAAATACTAAATTCGTTTGACATTTTTCTGTTAACACAGTAGGAAAAGTGTCGCAGAGAAAAATAAATAAATATGACAGCTGTCATTTAAAATGATAGGCTAAACAAAATATAAACGAAACCGAGTTGAACGTCCTTCAAGGACAGTGCATCCACACTTTGCTCCATCCTTATTCTGCTCTGTCACTCATCGACAACCTGCCTGTTCTGTCTGAGGGCCGTAGGCCTATATATACGGCCCTCAAATATATTTACCGGTGGATATTGTTAGACCGCCCGCTCCCTTTAAAATTACACCAGAGTTACTGACCGCATACCGCGTTTTATTCGGGAATTTAATCCCGCGGCACAAAAAATCTGATCCGCGAGAGCCATGGGAATGCAGACCTCATTATGAGAGACGTCATTCTACCTTCATATCGGACCAATCACCGCAGTTTAGCGTCACGCAAAGGAGGGGTTTGGAAAAATGTATTGTTGAGCGAATTGTTTGGGAGTCGTTGAGCAAAAGAGGAAAAAATAAATGCATATTATAAGACAATGAAAGTGTTTTTTTGACCTTGCATGCATGTCAACCTGTTGTTGGGGACTCCCAAAACCAAAATATGAACCTTGCATAACCCATAATAGGGGCACTTAAAAAAAAAAAAAAGAAGACACTGCATATTACACACTCTCTTGCTGCGTGACAGACCAATTTCAATCATTCAGCGAGACCACACAGATGTGTGTTTCATCACAGTGAAAAGCTGTTGGTTGAACTAAGATTAGATATTTGTTTGTAAAGGAGTGACCGTTCCCTTCCTTTACCACCTTCAGGTGTGATCACATTTTCCCAGAAACCCTGTCATCCCCTCAGCTCCAACCCTTTCTGACCTATTTTTGGCAAATACACACGCAAAAACATGCGCATGCATATATATACACACATTAGCGGCAAGCTCAATATTGCTACTGGCTTTACCTTGTAGAGGTGAAAACTCCAAAGATGAGGAGGCCCTTTGGGTGGTCCATCTCCAATAAAAACACATTCTCTGGAAGGAAAGAGACAAACACTAACTCAGTAGCTGAACATCTGTCCCACGACATTGTTACACGGTTCTAGTTTGGCCTAACAAGAATAAAACAGGTGAACGCGTGTAAATCCATCACAGGCTTTAACCCTCCAGTGTAAACAGTTTGTTCTGAGTGTTTTATGATCGTAAAAGGATTTTAATGAGGTGAAAAGCTGTACAAATCACCTAGGGCTGTTGATGGATACTGACAAACACCAAAATGGCTGGTTTATGGTTAATGACCAGTAATTATAGAAAGCTGTTTAACTATAATGTGAATGAAATTTGTAAGGCGAAGGAGTGTTTTGGGTTAAATACAGGTTAAGAACTAACAACACCATATCTAATTAGGGTACAATGGGGTTAAAGGCCCCTTGGGATTTTTTTCTAGTCCTAAAATATATGGCAATCAAATAAATATATCTTTTTACTGAATACAAATACATAAAATATATACATTGTATAAAAATAAACGTTTGTTTAAAATAAATTATTTTTATTTAAACAATTTGAATATAAAGGCAGCCTTTATATCGACAACCAGGGGACTTGATTTTTGTGGTAAACATTGCCAAAATATTTGAAGTGAACTTTCGGCAACACTTTATTTTAAGGTGTCCTTATTACACGTTTTATGTACTTACTATTATAATAACAATAAATTACGCATTATTACATGCAAGTAACCCTAACCATATAGTAAGTACATGTAGTTAATTAATATTACTCAGTATTTAAATGTACAATTACACTGTAACAAGGACACCTTAAAATAAAGTGTAACCGAACTTTCTTTTTGTTTGATTTTAAAGTTTTAAAAATCGTATTTATTGTATGTGGAAATCGACAGCATATCCTAGATGTTGTCCATATATCTTCACTTTATTGAAACTAAAACATTCCTTTAAGTAGAACCTGTGTGTCGTGTGTACTGTACCTACTTAACCTTATTTTGTGGACAACATATACCCAGAAGCAAGCTGAACTTGACAAAATCCCCCTAAACCTCTTTTTGGGGACCTCCTAATTTGTAAAAACTGTAAAAATCATTATTATTTTTTTTTTATTGTGAAAATGCAGAAGGTTTTCTGTTAGGGTGTGGGTTAGATTTAGATTACAGTATTTGTAACTAGATGTACTATATATAACAATAGGAGTCTATGCAATGTCCCCATTTACTGTAGATTTTGGTCCCCGTGAGGAAAACAGCTTCTAAATCATATTGAATGAAGTTTGTTTTTTTTTGAAAATCTAGAAAATAGCAGAAAGTTTTGTGTGAAGTTAGGGTAAGGGGATAGAAAATACAGTTTGTACAGTATAAAAACTATTGCGTTTATGGTATGTCCCCATAAAACATGGAAACTCAACATGAGTGTGTGTGTGTGTGTGTGTGTGTGTGTGTGTGTGTGGTCTCACCGAGCTCATCAAAGTGGGTCTCTGTACCGTCCTCCTCTAGAACCGAACATACCAGCCGAGCCTTCAGAAATGTGGTCCACTTGTTCACCAGACTGCGTTGACCACCAGTGTCATTCTAAATAGAATTTACAATGACTTAAAATAAATTATTAATACCGTTATATATTAATTTATACGGTTCATATTAATGATTGAAATATTTAAAAAAGATTGAGATCGCACTCTATCAAATTCCTTTTAAAAAATGTACCTCCCTGAAAATGATTGCATAACTTGTAAACAGTGACAAATTGACATGATACTCAAGGTACTCAAGCACACACACAAACTTACAGGGCAGACTCGAGCCACCATAGCGTGGATGTTCTTAGTGTTTCCACTACTGTCTGTCAGTCTCTCACGCAGGAAGAAGTAAAGTTTGGCGTCGTTTGGGTCTGAACCATCAGGAATCAAGTGTGCATCGATGAACACTGGCTCTAGTCAAAATAGAAGAATAACTACAGCTCAAACACTTAATTTGCTCTACATCAACCACAAAAGAGAAATAAGTCGATTGTACTGTATCATTTCATGCCTAAAGAATCAAACATCTCTGCATGGTGCTAATGCCTAAGTTTAGATGAAACACAATACAGCTGCTGGCGAACTGAGTGAAGAAAAAATATCTCACAGATCCAGACCAAATATGCGTTTCATTATGTATATTTGGATTGTATCACACAAAAGATAATGTGACCTCTTGAGAAAACCGTTATGCATGTACAATATGTTTTTATTTTCCTGGTGGAATCATTGTAAAAAGATATTGAGTCTATCCTGTCTTCAACTATTTCCTTTGACGTGGGCAAAGATGGTTTTTACTTTGTGGTTTGTGTATTATTTTACTGAAATGGCATGGAATGTGAACATGTAATTTAATGCTCCACATAAATAATTATTTGTAGCTTCAAGAAAACATTATGCACAATTTTCTGACGGAACAGTCATAATAATGTAGGTGGATCAAATCAAATGTAGGGTTTGTACCGCTCAGCCATTTGGAGTTATGTTGGTCCGTCCTCACTGCGTTCCTTGTGGTCAGGCTCCTGAAGATTGCCGCGTCTGTCCCCATGAAGTCAATGTACATGCCAGAGAACAGCTCCTGATCTAACCACAGACAGAAACAGAAACAGAAACGTGTCCCACAGATTTTGCATGTTCAGTGAAAATCTTTTCACATTTTTACATTACATTACATTAGATTTTGTCATTTAGCAGACGCTTTTATTGTGCTAGATGTGGATTTTATCTTCTCAGATGAATAGTAAGGTTGATGAATTAAACTAGGAAAGACGATAGATTAAAATAATTTATCAGGATTAATTTTATGTAGATAATGTGATTTAATTGTGAATTTGCTTTAACATTAAATTATATATGAATACTAGTGCTGTTAAATGATTAATCGCGATTAATAGCATCCAAAATAAAAGTTTTTGTTTACATAATATATGTATGTGTGCTGTGTATATTTATTATGTATATATAAATACACACACATGCATGTATATATTTCAGAAAAATGTTATATTTATATATTAAATATATTTATAATAGAAATTACATGAATATAAATATAGACGCGAATACATGTAAATATTTTCAAAGTATGGGTGTGTATTTATATGTACATAATAAATATACACAGAACACACACATATTTAATGCAAACAAAAACTTTTATTTTGTATGCGATTAATCGTTTGACAGCACTAATTAATACCATATATTTCTCCTTTAAGTTTGAATAAATTCAGTTCCTCATTTTAAATGTATTGATGTGAATGGCAATTAAATAAATAATAATTAAATAATAAAACTTTTCTCGAACTTCATGGACTGAATATTACATGTGTAAAATGTTTTTGCTTTAACATTTCTATGACTTTGGAGCGTCAATAATATTGTAATTCCATATTCACTCTAAAATAGGAAGTATAAATGATTTCGCTTATGTTAAATGTCCTGTCTCGGATTGATTTATGAATAAATTACCCATAAAAATATTACATTCTTCATCTTTTATTTTTCAACGATTGCTTAGCTATAGGGGCTTTTGTGTGCGTGTTCACCAATCTGTTCCAGTTGTGTTTTAATAATCTCACAGAACAGATCGAAACTGTTATGATGTCAAATCTAAGAAATGCACTAATGTAGTTTAAACGTTATTAAACATTTACTCATATGCGTTAACACTTTAACTTTGACAGCCCTGTTTAAAATGCATTTATTTTGTAAACCCACTGCATATAACGTATAAAAAATGGCTAAACACATCTGTCTGTTAAATACGAGACCTATGGATTTATTGTGGCTGTACATTTCTCTGCAGTGCGCTTTACTAATGACCTGCTCAAGTCTCTATTCCCCAAATCTCTTTTGTCAGTGCACTACTCTATCACTTCATCACTCCATATTGCTGGGCCCTGTGGTTGACGTGTGGCTAAGGGCCAAGTGTATGATGGAAATTGTCAGACGGACATCAGACTGAGAAAGCTGTAGGCTGTCATGTCAAGGACCGTCAGTCTTAGATGCCGTCTAGACAGTTAGGATCTGTTCTACTTAATGGAATAACCACTTAACAGATGACTCAACGATGACCTATAACATATTATATTTAGGTGTGTGTGTGATTTTTGTAGGCGAGTATGTGTGACACATGCAATTAGTTCTCATGAGGGTGTAAACTTGGAGATGATGGCATGTGTGTTTCAGGGTTATTATAGTTAATTAAAATTAAAACGTTAAAAAAAGAGATTGAAATAAACGATAAACTTTACATTAAATGCTAGTTGCTAAGGCAACATTTCTTGTTTTCATTTAGTTTAACATTGTACTAGAAGACCTAAACTAAAAATGAAATAAAAATTGATTAAAAAACTGTATACACATTAAAAAATAATAATACATAATTTAAAAAAAAAGGATAAAAATGAACAAAAAAACAACAACAAAATTTTGCAGACTTTTGCAAACTATAATAGTGTTTCAGTGATACTAAATAACACTGTTGTGTTAATGTTGCAGTTGTAATGGCTCTCTGGTGTGTGAAAGCATGAATGTGCGTGACACAGCCCATTGGCTGTGTCAACAGCAACCCAACACCAGCTAGCCAATTACAGATCAAAGGATTAAGGAGGTGGCACTGAGTGACCCAAAGTTGTCACATCGGAAGGGTGCAGACAGCCACAAAACGTGGGTGTTTTTATGACACTATGGGGTCATGAACAAAGAGATCATAGAGAAAGTGTTATAGTACGTGTCCGAGACAAAACGGCACCTGTGGATAAAGACACAAAAGACAGCAGCACTTACTGAGCATGACTGAGATGGTGTTGACTTGTGGGTTAAACGAGCATCTTCCTTTCCCTGATTCTGCTCGGGAAGAGATTTGGAAGACTTGCTCCTGCCAATGACACCAAAAACGCAAAATCTCTCATTTCACACAAACAAACTATTACTGTGATATCAACAATTTCAGATAAACCCGTCCCTAAATGGCACACAAAAACAAAACAGACTTAGTCCCTATATGTTGGTCTTTCCCTGTTTAAGTGGGCAGTTCTTGCCCAGAATAAGCTGCAAAGTTGACTTTTTCTAATCAAATCATATGCTTTATAAATATAAATGACTGACATATGCTCTCGTTATCATTTTATCCCATTTACCATCATCAAATCTATTCTCAACTTTCAGCTTGATCCGGAATGTTTCACAGCCAATCTGAAAAAAGAAAAAGAAAAAAGATTTCGGAGTAATTTCCTAGCACTCAAACTATTACTGTGATATCAACAATTTCAGATAAACCCGTCCCTAAATGGCACACAAAAACAAAACAGACTTAGTCCCTATATGTTGGTCTTTCCCTGTTTAAGTGGGCAGTTCTTGCCCAGAATAAGCTGCAAAGTTGACTTTTTCTAATCAAATCATATGCTTTATAAATATAAATGACTGACATATGCTCTCGTTATCATTTTATCCCATTTACCATCATCAAATCTATTCTCAACTTTCAGCTTGATCCGGAATGTTTCACAGCCAATCTGTATAAAAAGATTTCGGAGTAATTTCCTAGCACTCAGTGCAGTGGTTCTGGCTTTCTTCTGATTGGTTGGACAGACTTGCTCGAAGGCTTCCAGGTTTCCGACTATCAGACCAGTCTATCCTCTCCTTTGGTGTCATGATGTTGGCCAGTTACATGAAGTGAGAGAAACCAGAGACGTAGAGATCCACCGTCAGGGCATATAGCCGCTGGTGGTAGATCTTCTAATTTGTCACAGGGACGCGTGTATTCATTAACTAATATATTGGCTCTTTACATCACACACAACTATAGGCAAAGATGTGAATCACTTGGTGACTCCAGGGTGGCCCCATCATTGTTGTCACAAAGCTACTCCGCACACTTTTAAAGGTTACAGGTCACCCTATTGCAGAGTTTTCTTCTTCTGTAATAGTCCAGCTGGTGTGTAGCCAAGAGAGATGGACACAGACGGAGGATTGAGAGAGGAAAATGCTTTTCAAACAAAAAAGAATTATAGAAAACAAGCTGTTGGACTCCGATGACTAGTAGGACTGCTTCTAATCTCATCTGGTCTCGCATTTTCTCTGCTCTAGTATTTTTATTTTTTTTACCTCTAAGGATTTTCATTTCATCTCATCTCATCTAATCTGGTCTCGTCTCGTCTCATCTAGTTTTGTCTCATTTTTTCTCGTCTCATCTAATGTTGTCTTGTTTTGTGTCATCTCGTCTACTCTCATCTCATCTAGTTTTGTCTCTGTCTCATGCCATCTAGTTTTGTCGTTTTGTCTAGTCTTGTCTCATCTGACCTCATCTCATCTAGTTTTGTCTCATCTCATCTCATCCAGTTTTGTTTTGTCTCATCTCATCTAGTTTTGTCTTTTTTTTGTCTCATCTCATCTCATCCAATTTTGTCTTGTCTTGTCTTGTCTCGTCTTATCTCATCTAGTTTTGTCTTGTTTTATCTCGTCTCATCTCATCTAGTTTTGTCTCTTCTTGTCTCATCTAATCTAGATTTCTCATCTCATCTCGTCTCGTCTCATCTCGTCTAGTTTTGTCGTGTCTCATCTAGTTTTTATCTTGTTTTGTCTCGTCTCATCTAGTTTTGTCTTATTTTGTCTAGTCTCATCTCACCTCATCTCCTCTCAATTCTCATTTATTGCCTCATTTTATCTTCCAACTCTCCTCATTTTGTTGAACTTTACTCATCTCATCTAAATTTCTTCTCTTTTAAACTTTATGTATTCCCATCTCGTGTGACATCTTGTCAGCTCTCATCCTATCCCATCTGGTTCTAATTTTTTCTTGTCTCATCTCATCTTGCCTGTCCTTATCTCGTCTCTTGTCTTGCCTTGTTTTGTTTCATCTTGCTGTGTCTCTTCACTTATTTCTTCTCTTCTTGTCTAACGTCTTCTCATTTCATGCAATCGTCTCATTTTGTTAATTCTCTCATCTAATTTTATCTCATCTAGTCTAATTCTCCTTTAACTTTTATTATGTATTTCCATCTCATGTCACGACTTGTCTCGACTCATCTCATCTATTATTTGTCTCATCTCATCCCGCCTGTCCTCATCTTGTCTTTTGTTTCATCTTATCTCATTTTGTCTCAACATATCTCTTCCCTTTACTTCATATTCTTCTATTATAATTTTAATCTTATCTTGTCTTCAACCTTTAACTGTGTATTCACATTGTGTCGCATCTGGTCTTCTCTCATCTCATCTGGTTCTCGTTTTGTCTTGTTTTGACTCGTACCATCTCTTGTCTTGTCTCTTCTAGTTTTGTTTTGTCATCTGGTCTTATATCTTCTCTTCTTGTTTAATCTCAGCACATTCATCTTTAGCTCGAAGTATACTACGGTTTTGTATGTGTACACTAATGTATGCGTACAGTGGAATACATAGCCTTTCAAATTATACTCCATTTGGTAGTGTGCGTGTATGCAGGCAGTCGACACGTGCTGTAGAATTGTTCAGTGTCTGCTCTACTTTTCTCCAGAAGTTATGACAGATAAAAATATCTTTGTACTCTTTTAAACTAAAGGTGCGACTGACTATCTAGCGTTTGTTGTTGTTGCAGTCTCTGCTATTTTGTTGTTGTTGTTCCGTCTCTTTAGTTTTGTTTTCTGCTTTGAAACAACAGCCTGGGGCCGGTGTTGCCACCTTGTGGAACAATTGATTAGTGCAGAAAAATTCAATGCATATGTGCGACCTGCAGTAGTACTATTCTGTTGACAGAATTTGTGTTGCGCACTTAAGTATAATTTGGGCTTTATTTGCTCACCTCTCGACTGGCATGTCTTGTCTCATCTCATCTTTTCTCACCTGATCTTTTTTCTTTCACTCTTTTAACCTCTAACCACCCTCATTCCCATGCTGCTGTAAATTGTCATGAGCTTTTTAAAGGATGTATGATGTTGAACTTTACAACTCAACAGTAGATTAAACACATTTTTTACCAGGAAATGAGGAGAATATAGGCCTATTGTCCATTTCTCAGTCCAGCATTTTAGAATTCTGAAACAAATGTAGGAAAATTAAACTGAACTATATCAGACGGTCTGACTGCTTTTCATTAATGAGTGTAAACTGACCTCAGGACGCCTGCCACGGTTAACATATGCACACACTGGGCTGTAGGCTCCACTGCCGCAGATGAACAGATGAGTCCTGTTATAAGGCTGAATCAATCGTAAGAAGTTTCCACATCCATGCTGAGGAGAACAAAAGAGACAGAGATAATTGTTTTCATTCCTAAAAGTTATACTAAAATCTCTTTTAATGTAATTTTAAAGTCATTTAGTGCTACATAATTCTATTAGCAAGCTGCTACGCTCCGTTCTTTTATTTCGGAAAAAGACAATGCCAGTTAAAATTAAGACAATTTATTTTGATCCAGACCTGTAATTGAGGAAATAAAAGTTTATATAGGTCAGGAATTTAAGGCCTATCTTAGAATACAGGAATCCCAAACTAAAGTGGACGCCAAACCGACTACACATGATCCAGCCCAAAGAAAGAGTGAGAGAGGGATGAGTAGAGAAAGAAAAGAAGCACCAGGGGAGTAGTTAGGAACTTGCCGAAGTGTGTCAAAACAGCAGCTGCATGAGCTCTCGGTTAGCATGCGCACACGCAGGTCCTTCAAGAGCAACTCCAGAAAAATAACAGCGCTTCCAATAGCACACACCCAACCATCCACTCCTCCCCTTGATCTCTTTCACATGTTTGTCATTAATAGTTCTGTGGCACATATCAACATTATCCTCTTCTGGCTTATATTCACTACTAGATTTATGGTATGTAACCTTTTTCTTCCGCAAAGGCAAAAAGACATCTTGACAGCTTATGGTTCACGTACAGATCAGGCAGAATTAACAAGAAAGAGCTCCATAAACACATCTTAATATCATTTACAGCTCTCTTAAATAAACCCATCAGTGTTTCCCAAATGATGCAGATGGATTCGGATGATGTGAGGTCACGCGCTGCCGCTCCTGTGGCTACAGGTCCTGTCAGGGAGAGGGATGGGGTATATCCCTGTGAGGGGAGGAAACCTGACAACCTGACGAGAGGCAGTGCTACAGATCCATAGATACAAATAAAACATCCAAGGAAATCTGTGGCACAAACCCTACAGTTTAAACACAGAGGAAAACAGACTGTAGGAAAGGCTCAAACACAAATCACGTCAGAAGCAGTGTGGGAAGGCTGATCTGCAAACTCTATAAAAGCTGCATATATCACTATTTGAAATGGTGCTCTGTACCCCCACTGGTAAAGTTATTAAATAGCTGTAGTCATACAATTTAGGACTGGGTGAATTTTATTAAAACTTTCAAGGGCACTTGGTGGCATTTTCACCCTAAAATTCAAAGCAAAAGAAATAAATTATACTTAAATTAATCTTGAATAATGAAAAGCCTGTTTACAGTCAAATACATAGCCTTTCAAATTATACTCCATTTGGTAGTGTGCGTGAACGCAGGCAGTCGACACGTGCTCTAGAGTTGTTCAGTGTCTGCTCTACTTTTCTCCAGAAGTTATGACAGATAAAAATATCTTTGTACTCTTTTAAACTAAAATTGCGACTATCTAGCGTTTGTTGTTGTTGCAGTCTCTGCTATTTTGTTGTTGTTGTTCCATCTCTTTAGTTTTGTTTTCTGCTTTGAAACAACAGCCTGGGGCCGGTGTTGCCACCTTGTGGAACAATTGATTAGTGCAAAACATAACTAAAATTCAAAGCAAAAGAAATAAATGATACTTAAATTAATCTTGAATAATGAAAAGCCTGTTCTAGGAGGGTTTATTCTGGCATTATTTGTATTACAAATTAACCACATAGTCTAGTGATCTTACTGCAAAAAATAAATATTCATAAATAATGGTAGTTTGTTGGACTGCTTATTTAATAGATTTTTATTTATAAAAAGAATTGTGTCCTCTATCTATCTATCTATCTATCTATCTATCTATCTATCTATCATCTTTTTTTTTTGGTGAAGTATGACCCAGACATTTTTGATAAGATTCACCTACACATCCCTTATGTGGAGTAAATTAAAATTGAGCCATGACCAGTAAATTGGGACATATTTTCACTCATCTTAATGTAAAAAAATAGCCAGGGTTTACCTAAATTTGCCCTATTTTCCAGTTACATGCAATTAAAATATACAATACCTAATTTCATATCTGAGTGCAGTGCACATGTAAATGGGTGCATTTTTCGTAAGCACATAATCATTTGTGGTATGGGTGTGAAGTAAAATATTTATCTTTGGCCAGTTGAGAACTTTGGTCCATCCTGCATTTACTTTGTTTTAACACATGTAGTTGATGACAAAGAGAAGGTGTGACCTCCCACTGCGCTTCAGACAACATCTAGAGACCGCTTTTGCTCATGGGCACTGGGGCAAGAGCCATCTGTTTCTGATCCAGCCATGACTGTTAGAAATTGGAATAGTAAAACTTTATTTTGAATAAACTCATGCATCTGTTCCTGATCCAGCCATGTCGGTTAAAATTTGAGGACTAAACATTTAAAATCAGCTCATGCTTGGTGCTCTTTTGATTGATTTGGGACAAGTTTAATTAATTGCTGTGATTGTAGGGAGAATAATGCATGTGAAAACAGCTCACTGGATGATCACTTCACCAAGCAACAGATAAATAGGAGTCGAATCAAGAATGCTGCTGCTTTCACTGTGAAACAGAGGCATAAAAGATCTGGCCAACCATAACATGCCAGGAGTTTAAAAGTCTCAATGTTCTTACTGTGGGGTCTTTGCCAGCCATCTGACACTCCTCGATCTTACTAGTGGATGCCGGCCAGAAGATCTGAGAAAAAAGAGGAGAGCAATGAGAAAATTGCAATATATGGACAAAAGAACATTAGATATAAAGTGTTTTATTTTTTTGACTGACAGATATATACTTTAAAGTAATACTTTTATTCAGCAAGGATGCAGTAAATTGATCAAAATCAATCATCAACAGCCCCTGTCACCTTTCATTATAAGCACATGCAAGAACAGCCTGGACATTCTGTAAAATGCTTACTTTTACAACAAATAACCATTTTAAAGCCTAGTAGTTATTTAGCAATCTTAAGCTCCTAAAATAGACACAAATCATGCTGTTTTGTACTCTAATTTGGGTGAGGCTTTTTAATGGTGAACTCGTGATTGGGGTTGAGCCCGCCAGGATAGATGGGCAGCATAGACCAGCAAAATGCACTGGAATGTAATGAATCTCTGAAGTTTTGCCAGCCTTAGCTGGAAGAGGAAAGATAAACTTCCATAATTTTTGCCAGTTGTGTTCAAGCTGTCTCCTCAAAAGCCAACAATGTTTAACCAAACTTCAACTCTCCCATTAGTCAGATGTGAAGGAAAGAAATGTGGTCACCATTGGTTTCTACAACTGTTGTGCTACATTTCAAATTGATATACAGTAGAGAGGTTTTGAGTGCTCTCTTACCTTCAGCGGGGTCTGGCTGATGTTATTGATGTCCATCGAGAGTGCATGGTCTTTGCAGCCCACGTACATACGGTCTTGATCTTCGTCCATGAAGAGGATCCTATAGTCCATGGCTTTCTCAGACAAAGTGTAGTGCTCAAAGGACTGGATTTTCTTTAATTCTGTAATGCAAACACAAACATGTTCTTTGCATTTGTATATGTGGTTTTGGTTTTTACTTGCTGAACCCCAGTCTTATTCCAAAACACACACACACACACACACACACACACACGCTCCAGTCTTATTCCAAAACACACACACACACACACACACACACACGCTATCATACGTATACAAAGGCGTAAGGCCCTTCACCATACCATCAAAGTCTCTCTAATGAAGCCCAAACTCATGAATATTCATTGTTGTTTCTCATTAGTCATTCACTAATGTATATAGAAGTGGAGGCCACATTGATACCCTCCTCTTCGTCTTTATCCTTTTTAACACTCATTCTAAAACCATCCTTTCTTATTTTTTTTCTTCAATGACCGGATAACTGAATGAAAGTCACATTTCTCTTATCTACAGCCACTTTCTTTTCACGTTTCTGCTTTTCATCCTCAAATAAAGAGACGTCTGAATAAAGTACCTGCCAAATAGGTTTGTATATTCACCAAGCTGCCTATAAACACAAAACCTGTGCAATTCCCACCTTTCTTAATGGATCCCAGGACAAATAACTCCATCCATGGCTTCCCATTCAAACCAGCACATCCAAAGCAGGGTTGTGCAAGAATTCAAGAATTTATAATAATAAAACCATTCTAAGATATATTTAAAACATTATAGTTTAACATACATTAGCATATATTCATATATATTATTAATCAAGTTAATGCTAATGTACATGTACAATATTTTGTATCTAATGTTTAGGGATTTTTCATACTTCAGTTCTGTCAAAACGATGGCAACCATTACATTTATATTCATTTTGCCATACAGCACAATAAAATTTCCATCAAATTGTTTTCAGAAAATGTTATAAAAAAATTAATAAATATTAACATCAAAATTAGCCTCTATATTGAATATAATATATGAATTAATTAGGGCATTCTCAGAAATGCCACCATCTTCCACCATTGTTCATTAAATGAAAATTAATGCATTAAATATAACTAAATATAAATTAAGCACAAATTTCTGCTGGTGGCATTTCAAAAATATAATGTTAAATCTTAAATTAAATATTACCAGCAATATCACACAAGTAGCAGTGCAGGCTGTATATCGTGTATATGGCGATATACAGCCATATCGCACTGCTACTCGTGTAATATTACGTTTACACAACAGTTTCGATGGCACAAGTGTGTTAAATACATAAGAAACAACAGAGTATCTTTAAAAACCTCTTTTGTAGGGAACTACTTCCTTCCACCACGGATTCAAATCTTAAGTTGACTGTTTAACAGCTGAGTCCAAGCTTCCGTTTCGAATTCGAAAACGTCACTTTAGAACTAGTAACAAAGGGACATTGAATTGCTTCCTTGAAAGCTTATTGAATTACTGTAATAAAAGCTCACTGTATTATGTAGAGTATAAAATCTCTTTGAAAACGTCGAAGCAAATGTTCAAATAGATGTTATCTTTATTAACAAACTGCATATTTGAAGTCAAAACAACGACATTCTCGCCTAAAAAAAAGCCTTAAAACTACATTCCGTGACACAAAAGCAGTATTATTTATAAAATTATAGTGGATTTGGGCATCCGTCATGACACTCTTTGTGAGAAATACCACAAGCGGAGTGATACAAACGGTGAAATGGTTGGAGTTCTGTTATCACTAGAATATCACACTCATGGAAGAGGCTCTCAGCCAATCAGATTTGAGTACCAGAAAAAAACTTCTAATTAAAATTTTACATTTAAAATTTAATTTTTAAAAAAATGTCAAATTTAAAATTCAGTAATTTAAAAGACATTCTAATTATTCTATAGATTTAAAGGGACTAGCTCACAAGATGAGGTGAAGATCACCCCAGGCTCTCTGAACAACATTGACAGTAGACAGCATGTCTCACCAGACTATTATGGGATTATATTGGTGGAGAAGGCCTTGTCAAACTCATCATTCTAACGTAGCTTTAATAAAGAGATGTGCAGAGGGCAACAGATTACATCAGCCAGGCTTCAAAGCACCACCGATAGCATCTCAGTAAGATAAGAGTGGCATTATTACTGCTCAAAGAACTCATCAGGGTAAAATTGAAATGAGTGCATGAGAACTAGACGGAGGGGAATGAAGACATAACGCTGCAGAAGAAACGGTCGAGGAAGCATATGAGGAAATAAGTATTAAATAAAATACCTCAAAAGAGGGAGTGAAAGAGAGAAATCCCACTTCTGGTTAGGTTTCAGTAGACTAATTAGAAACATGCAGCTTCTGTAACCTCAGACAGAAATCACAAAATCCCATTTCACCCCATTCAGCAGACTCGTGCCATTTAAAGACTTTCATAAAGATTTTCTTTTTGGAAAATTGCTTTGTTAGGTTAGCCTTTCATTTCAGCACTTTTCAGGTTCTGTTTCAGGTTCTGTCTAATATGAAAATGCTGTGTTGCTCAAGCGTTTAAAAGTAACTTAAGGTTAAGTTTCTTTCTTGACGTCTGTGCGGCACAAAATATTTCCCAGATGTTAAATTCTTCATAAAGGCAGCTTTTATAACATTATAAATGTCTTTACTCTCACTTTTGATCAATTTCATGCATCCTTGCTGAGTAAAATTTATTAATTTCTGTTAAAAAAAAGAATTTTTACTTACCAAATTTTAAACAGTAGAGTAAATAAAGGTTTAGTTTGAGTGTGTTAGGTTAAACAATGATTAACCTCAAACTGTTTATTTTTGTGCCATTGTGTTGAATATGACATTTTAATATTTTCTTTCGTTCTATAATAATTCCTAATGTGAATTTGAAGCAGTGTTTGTTAGTCTTCATATGGGAAAGTAAAAGACAGCACAGTGGGAAACGTTCACAAGACCTTCCCACCCCACAGATAAACGGAATTTTAAACAGTAGAGTAAATAAAGGTTTAGTTTGAGTGTGTTAGGTTAAACAATGATTAACCTCAAACTGTTTATTTTTGTGCCATTGTGTTGAATATGACATTTTAATATTTTCTTTCGTTCTATAATAATTCCTAATGTGAATTTGAAGCAGTGTTTGTTAGTCTTCATATGGGAAAGTAAAAGACAGCACATTGGGAAACGTTCACAAGACCTTCCAACCCCACAGAGAAACGGACACACGTTCCGCCTCTCAGGAGGATTCTGTGGTGTTTTATGTCCGCCTGTCCTGACCCCTGAGCCCTGAAAACAAGAATCATACTTAGAGTTATTAAGACACACATCTAAGTCAACATTCCCAACTGACAGGTGCTATCACACCTGCTAATAATGCGATTTGGGAAAATTATGTAGTTTATTTCATATTTGGGGTTTCCACGAGGGGATACAACAGAACGTTTATCTAACTTATGCTAAATGTAAAATAATATTTGACTTATGTTCAAAGGTCACTTAGCGCATTTCTCAGTGAGGGCAGACAGGGGGAACATACTGTACACTAAAACTTAACACTTCAGTGAAGATGTGAAAGTTTATACTTTTGAGTGACTAACATAGTGAAGACTGTAATTCCAGTCTTGTAATTGATTTATTATATATAGTATGTATATTGAGAAGTAACAGCAACAAGAGGTGTGCGTTTAAAAAAATTGTCTGAATGACTAATCCTACACTGAAATTAACAAATATAAAACTGAAGGATGCTTTTGCACAGGTATTCAAAACTAATTTTATTATTTTTACATTACACATTTTTTCTAGGCAGATTCACTTTAGGTAGCTTGAGTTAGTTGGATGGTGCTTACGCAATGCAGTTTTCCAAATTGTGCCAGGCCAGTTGGACTGGGATCAAGGCTTTGACTGCGACACTGCATCAATAGAGAACATTCATCTTTTTGTTGATGAGCCACTGCAGTGTTAATTTGGCCCTGTGTTTGGAATCACAAACTTTCTCCCAAGCTGAAGGGTGCACCTCACAGAGCAACACTGATTGCATCATACTTGTTTGCAAGAGAAGCTTGACAGCTTCATCAAAATGAAACTTAATTAGGGTCTGAATGCTTTTGAAAAGGCAGTGTTTTCATATGCCATGTGATATTGCAGTATGACAAATAGGGTTACATAATATATTGGGGTCAATGACTAATAAGAATGTGCATAACAATAAAAACGAAAAATCCAGTTTAAAATGATGGCCAGCATTCTTGTCCCAATGTTGCTTTCTTGTGAAAAAGCATTAGTGGTAGGGATTTTCAGTTATTCTTCTGGAGGTTTACATCAATACTGTACAAAATACAGATTTATTTAGGGACAAAAAATATACGAGTGATTTATGGAGTTATTAACTCAAGCGATTCGTTCAAAAACATGGATTTCTTCCAAAGTTCATTAAGGTGTGGTCACTTTTGCCATTGCTCTGCAAAATTTAGTGGGTGAAATCCAGTCATCTCAATAGGAATCGGAGCAATCAAGTGATTTGCATGAGGACGAAAATGTTTTCACTCGTGTATAATTTGGTCACGTCAATTTGCTGCACTGACCAACAGAAAGCTGCTGGTTTTGGTTTAAAATTGACTTCTGTGTGAGCTGTGATTCATACACTGCTATGCTATTGACAATGGGCAGTAGACCTTTTTTGACAATTCGTCTGAAATTTCGCAATATTTCGGCAATATTGTATCCAAAAGGTAAGTTACTTGTTGATTGAACTATTGCATAAAAACATCGTGACGTTACTAAATATATATTGCAATAGTGTGTGAGTTCAGTGACAATGCAAAACTGAGCAAGTTATCAACTCACTATCCTGTACTTTCTCTCTTGTGTTTAGCATTGGAAGGTGGTTTGTTTGGATGATGGAATGAAAATTCCATTGTATATTTTTCGCCATTTTATGTTTTATTGAAGTATAGTTAAATGCTACTGTTCATTTCCATTTATGTTTTTTGAGAAGCTTCACTGTCGATGAAAAGATTTCAACACCCACAAAACTATTTGTTAAAAGTATTTGTTATGTTTTGTGAATAAATTAATGGGTCCAGA